AAAAAAAAACTTAATAATTAGAAATAACGACTTCATTACAACAAATATAAAAATATAAAAAATATGAAAATACAAAAAATATAAAAAATAAATCAATAAGAATGTGACTCATACCGTTTTATAATACTAACATAAAAATGTATAATTTAAGGATGTATGGAATCATCAGGATCGGTGGGCAAAACTACTAATTTAACGACAGGCCGCACAAATGTGCCCTGGGCGGTTTGAACGCGCACTACACGTACAATTTTATCGGGTCCCGGCATTAATGCTGTTATTCTACCTAAACGCCACATCAATGGGGGACACGAATTATCTTTAATAATGACCATGGCGCCCACACGAACATTTGGTTGATCAGTTAACCATTTAGCTCTTTGTTGTAAAGTGGACAAGTATTCCGATGACCATCTATGCCAGAAAGCCTGGTGACAGTGGTCCAGCAACTTCCAGCGGTCAACTAGCGAACGGGGCGCGTCGAGTTCAGTACGCGGCGGAACAGCAAGTAACGGTTGTCCTATAAGAAAGTGCCCTGGTGTGAGGCAATCAAGATCCTGCGGATCAGTGGAACTGGGTACAAGCGGCCGGGAATTTAGAACGCTTTCTATTCGGCAAATGACGGTGGTGAATTCTTCATATGTAAACATATGAGCACCCATTACGCGTATTAATAATCGCTTTGCTGAGCGAACGGCGGACTCCCACAATCCGCCCATGTGTGCAGCCGAAGGCGCATTAAAATGCCACTCACACATCGGCGTCGCTGCCGCTATTTTAATTTGAGACGTTGCGCTATTTATAAGGTCACGTAGCTGTTTATCAGCCCCGATAAAATTTGATCCACAATCCGAAAAAACTTGGGCTGGTAGGCCCCTACGAGCGACGAACCGATCGAAGGCCGCTAAAAAGGCTTCAGTAGACAGTTCCGTCACGACTTCTAGATGTACCGCTTTAACGGTGAAACAAACAAAAATGGCTAAATATACCTTATAAGTACGTGATTTTCTCAACCTTATTTCGCGCATTTGAAGAGGCCCGGCGTAATCGATTCCGACGCGCCTAAATACTTGGCATTCTGTAACACGCGCAGACGGTAAGTCAGCCATCCGGGGTTGCGGATTTACAGCTGCGTAACGCACGCACGTTGTGCATCGACTAATAACTTTATGTACGACGGCCCGCGCACTCAAAATCCAAAATTGCCGTGTAGCTAGCGTAAGCATAACACGTGGGCCTGCATGACAGCTATATTCATGATACCATCTGAATATAAGTATGGCTAAATGAGACCGTTTAGCTAAAAGTATCGGATGTTTTTGCTCGTAAGGTAACAACGAATGGCGTAAACGTCCACCCACGCGGATTACCCCATAATCGTCCAAAAAAGGGCACAAACGTGCCATAGGTTTAGAAGATATACTGACTCCAGCTACAAGTTCATTTTTTAACGCGGCAAAAAAACATTGTTGCGAATCAATCACTATTGCTCGTAACGACGCGTCGATTTCCTCTTGAGTGATCGCGAGCGCTGGAGATGCATTGTGGCGACACTTATGTGCAAAACGCCTCATATACGATATGACGCGTAACATCCGATTATATGAAGAAAAACGAGTTGACCATTCGGTTGGAGGGTCCTGGGCGCGAACAGCTAATGAAATAATGCGGACTTCAGATGAATCGGATACATCCAATAACGACGGTCGCGACGGCCACCTATCTGGCGCTTCTAAAATAAACGGAGGGCCATGCCAGTATAACGTATAATCACATAATTTAGAGGGCAATACCCCGCGCGATACGCAGTCGGCCGGGTTGACGGTTGTGTTTACATAGGACCATGAGCACTCAGGTATTAAACATTGTACCTGGTGTACTCTATTTGACACATATGCCTTAAAAGTATCATGTGGTACACTTAGCCACGATAATACCACGAGCGAATCGGTCCAAGCATGAGTCGCGATAATATTTAAATCCGTAGACAAAATGGATTTAATTCGTCCTAACCAACGTGCTAAGAGTACTGCGGCATTTAACTCGAGACGGGGTATAGAAAGTGGTTTAATCGGAGCTAATTTAGTTTTCGCGCCGATAAGGAAAATAGACGATTCAGTTAATGGATTTTCGACGCGCAAATAAATAACGGCGGCGTAGCCACGCTGAGACGCATCACAAAACCCAAGAAGCCGACACGTGGAGTTTTTACACGTGCCGATATAACGCGCAATTTTAATGTGCGACAACAGCGGTAGCTCCGCAACAAAATTTGACTACTCCATACTAATATCGTCAGGTAATTTTTCGTCCCACCCTAGGGACAGTTGCCAGGTTCGTTGCATTATAGATTTTGCCA